AGTTGGAGTATTTTGTGTAATTGGGAAAGTTTTAGTTTTTTTTGCTTTACTGATATTTTTGTACTGTTGATGGGTTAGTTCTTTCTTTTTATAATGCTTCTTTTGAACTAAAATCGAGTACTGTTTTTGTTGTTCTGTAATCATAATCAGCTTTTTATCTTGTTGATTAGAAGAGGGTTTAAGGATGAAGTGTGGATTTTAATTGGAGATCAAATTTCTATGGTAGTGTATTTAAGTTTGGTTCTTATTTTGAGGAAGAAAGGTAGTTTTGAATTGTTAGATATGGAATTAGTGGTAAACATTGATGTGGAAAGTGGCTATGCTGTTTGATTTGCTTATATTGTTCGTGCTTGTTGGGTTTTGTTGGGGTGGGGTTTGTTTGATGTAGATTTGTCAGTGGTACGGAACAAGGATCCAGAGTGGTTCTTCTTCTGTCCGCAGGATCGGAAGTATCCCAATGGGCACAGGTTGAACCGAGCTACGACACATGGGTATTGGAAAGCAACGGGGAAGGATCGAAAGATTAAGTCTGGTTCTGCTCTGATCGGAATGAAGAAGACTCTTGTTTTCTATACTGGTCGTGCACCGAAGGGGAAGAGGACCAATTGGGTTATGCATGAGTACAGGCCTACCCTGAAGGAGCTCGATGGTACCAATCCTGGACAGGTCTATTCTTATCTCCTATTTTTGTTGTTTGGTATTTTTGCTTTTTCATCTTTGTTACCATGGTGTTTTGACATCAAATTGTTTGTAATTTTAATAGCTCTATTGTTTTTTCCCTCAGGAGGTGTTTAAGATGTAAAGCTGGCTTTTATTCCTCAATGTTTGATGTGATGAATGATGATTTATTTTCATTCCTTCTTCTTCTGGGATAAGGGTTGGTTACATGTTTGCGACAATTGATTAAAGCAAAGTCGATTGTTTGATTTTTTGCTTTCGATGTTTGTGTCTTGTATCGTTTTCCTTTCATCAAGTTTGAGGGGGCTCTTGTTTCCCTTTTTATGTGGTAAAACTCCTAGGGTTTAATGTAGAAGTTTTTGTTTGCTGACTGTGTCAATATATATATATATATATATATATATATATATATATATATATATATATATATATATATATATATATATATATATATATATATATATTACCTAGTGTGTTTCTCTTTAAATTACCAAGTGGTTGTAACCCTGATAAGGTTGTACCTACAGATCAGTATATATTATTTTGCATAAAGCTTCTGCAATTTATGTCTATCTCACAGTATCCATGAGATATGTTGCTGACTTTTTAATCCGGTTGATTTGACTAATTACAGAATCCATACGTCCTTTGTCGGTTATTTAAGAAACATGATGAGACTCTTGAAGGTTCAAATGGTGAGGATGTGGAGCGGACTGCTTCAACCCCTATGACTGCCAATCACTCTCCAGATGAAATACAATCTGATTCATCTCTGGATCCAGCATCTTCCTCACAGATCACTGAGGGTGAAAAGCCGCTAACAGTTATCCATGAAAACTCTGAGGAAGCAATATCCAACATTATAACTGCAGTTGACTCCCATAGTGATGGATGTGATGCTCCTGATGTACAAAATCAAATTGTAAAACCAGCTGCAGAGGTTAGATTGGCTGCTTGAGTTTTCATCTATTGTTTCTTCCTTTCCCTTGATTTCACCCTCCCCCTAATTTTTGTTTCAAAACATTGAATTTGTTGGTTTACTAACTATATGCAGCAGGATCAGCCATTTAACTTTGAGGATTTTTATGACCCAACAAACCAGCAATTAGATGACAAATTATTCTCCCCAGTCCATGCTCATTTCCCACCTGAAATTTACTATCAATCAGAACTTCAGTATGGTACAAATGACAATATACCCGACTTTTTTGACTCGGTTAACTGGGACGCTATCTCCTATGATACTAGCAGTCTAGAGCTAGGCTCATCCTTCCTCAATGTCAGGGACAATGGATCTGGCAGTGACTCAGATGTGGAAATGGCCAATATGACGGTGAGTAATAGCACCGATTGCTTTAGTTATCCTAGATTGCTGCAATCAAATTACTTGTATTAGTTCTTAAACACCCAATGGCAGCTCTAACCCATTATTGTAGAAGATGACATCAAATTACAAGTTTGGTTATATCACTTTAGTGAGTTTATATATCGTGATTTGCAACGTTCCCCTTGTCTAATGTCAATTTTATTTGCTGCTGCAGAATCTGCAGGCATTACATGGCCATCCTAACGAGGCAGTTGAGAAGAAGAGTAACGTAGGATTATTTCAGAGCACTCCTCTGATGGCTTTCTCAAACGATGGTTATATGGGCCAGGTAGATGATCCGATCAAGAATAGTGGGCAACTAAGAGACTTTGATACGCTTGTTAATGGTGATACTGGAATCAGAATAAGGGCTCGTCAAGGACGAAACGAACAGCCAAACATGAATGGAATGGTACAATCACAAGGCAATGCACCAAGGAGAATACGATTACTTGTCGAGCGACAGTTTGCTTCCGAGAAAGCGGCGAAAGATGGAAGTTGTGCTTCAGCCCCAGAAGAGCATAATTCAAAAACCACCATTTCTAGGGTAAGCAGTTTCTTCATTTAACTTGTATATCTAACTCAATTATGATGACTACACGTATTGAGACTTTTGTGTTCCTCTTTTTGCAGGAGTGGAATGCTTCGGAAAACAATGCTACCGATGAGAGTTCCGGCAGCTGTGATGATGTGGATGAAGCAGAGAAGGAATCTCCTGAGTCATCTGACTTGGGAAAGATTACTCGGCAGCATGTTGCAACTGCAGAATCCTTCGTCTCAAAAGAGAGCAGAAGGGGCCATCACAGTTCAAAGGTTTCGTCTAACCGTGGCATGTGGTCTTATGTTCTTGCAGTTTCTGCAACTGTGTTGGTTTCAGTAACAGTCATTGTTAATATATGGGCGTATGTGAGATCTTAAACAGCTCACAACTAGTAGTTCTTCATTACTTTTGTGCGGAATTTGCCTCCGTTCCTTTTTTGGCCAGTTAAGGAGGTATGTAGGATTGACTTTTCAGAGGCTTGTTGATAAGAATGTAAAATATGTATGTGCATATGTATGTAATGAAGCAGTCATTGCAGAGTATGGTAACATAGCTGTCTGGTTTGATAGACACATGTTGCTGCAGTTAGATTCACAGTTTAACTGCTTCCATTTTTGTTGAGGTTAAGGTTAGTTTTCCCACTTGGTTTTGTTAGTAGTAATAGCACGCAGTCATTTATTCCCATGAGGTTTTGTTGTATTATGTTAACTTCGGGAAGAGGATTCTGAGTAATTTTTTCTTAAACTACCCACCATTTTAATCCATAAATTTAGTGTTAAAGATATATCATTTAAATGCAATTTAAAAAAAATTAAATTATTTATTTCTATGTTTAAATTTTGATTAAAATTTAAACGTTGTATTTTCTATGGCTATATCATTTGTACAAATATCTAAAAACGTTTATATTATAATATGATTTATGCAACTAATTAGTTTGATCAGAATTTAAATTCAATTAAAGATACACACGCTTATCTTTATATGATTATTTGTTAAAATCAAATCCTTGGTAGAATAAGCACACAAATAGTTTACTCTCAAATTAGTTGTTGCAAGAACTTTACAATTTTACTTAAAAAGCATCTTGTTAATTATTTCACTTTCATTCCTTTAAATTGAAAATCTTGAAATCAATAATAGTAAAAAAATCTCATAACTTATTTATTTTAAATTAAAACAAATTAAAAAATTTATTTTTCACGTAATTATGTATCTAATATATTAATTTACAGCAATATTACTAAAAATTCACTCATTACACCTATTTTGTTTTTCATTTTCCAATTCCATATTAAAAATTCACGTAATCATTACACCTAATTTATATTTCCTACTAATAAAAGTGATGAGTAATTATTTCAGAATTATTGTAAATCCAACATACCCTAATTCCTAGACTTTAAATTTTAACTCCAACATGTAATAAATCCTAAACTTTAAACTTTAAATCTAATATGCTCTCCCATTAGAGAACTCATTGTAAAATTTGATTTACCAAAGTATGTTTAGAGGGAATAACAAGTTTGCTCTTCCAATATGAAAACCATCATGCACGATATAATTAGGATGAAGGGGTTGAGTTCATGCACAACTCACTTGTATGCTTGAGATTCTGATCTTAGAACACAATAACTCAAATTTCATTCTTTTGTTTACCTGTTTAAGACTATTATTGTTTCCTTTACTTATGATTTTAAGTTCGATTTTCAATTATATTATTTGAAATATTATTTAATGTAATTTTAAATAGATTGTTACATGTTAAAAAATAAATTCTAAGTTTAAAGTTTGTATATTAAGAATTGCGATTAGTTTGCTTTTACTATTTTAATAGAAACGTTTAAATATAAATCATGTTTCATCAAATCAATTTAGTAAAAATAAACTTTTTGAAATCAACGTTTTAAATGGTCATTCAAACAAACTAATTTTGTGATTTTTTATTCAGCACTAATTTTATGAGTGATAATATTTTAAAACAAGTCCAATTTTTTCATATTAATAAATTAATACAATAATAAATCTGAATAAAAGGACAATAATAGGGTTATTCGAGAGTACTTCATCAATTGACTTTTGGATTAGAAAGAAGATAATTTAAAATGTCTATAAATTGAGGAAAAGCCACATATATTTCGAAGATGATTTTATCTTTATGAGAGATGTATTGATCATTCATAGAAATAAAAGCAACCCATAATCTAGATATTTATTGAATCTTGGCGTCATACGGCACATTTTTGACAAAAAATAAGGAGATTAAAGAATTTTTAAATAACAAAACCAACATATGTAATCATGAATATTTTCACAAAATATTGATGAATTAAAAAGGTAGGAAAGTGAATATCATAAACCCTTCCATTTATTGATTTCATGATTATGAAGAACGAAAACAAAACAGCGGGAGAATTGTAAGTAAACACAAAGCTTCGTTTAGAAAGGTGGTGTCTTCCAAGAAAACAAATTAAAATCCCCTCCATTTGCGCATGTTTGACCAATACATTGAAACTAAAATGATATTGCAGAACACTAAAACAAAAAAGCAAAATTTCAAACGATTATTCTGGGAGGAGTCAAACCACAATACTCATTAGCAAGAAATTCGGTTGTCACCCGATTCCTACCCCGCACTAAAGAGAACCAACTTTTCTCAGTACTTGTAGTCCTCAACATGGAGACTCTCTGAGGCACCCTCAGCAAGCTTTGAATCGCCCTTGTAGGCTCCAAGAGTTGCCTCCGAGTTAGCCTTGGCTCTTACCAATAAGGCTTCTTGAGCCTTCTTCACATTCTCATCTTTTCCACTCCATGCCTTAATGGTACTCTGTTGAAGTGCCCTTCCAAAAGAGAAAGAGAGTGTCCATGGCTTCTTCCCCTTAACCAGGTTGATGGCATTGAGGTTGAGGGTTGCCTCCTCCTCACTCTGTCCACCAGACAAGAAAACTACCGCAGGAACTGCAGCAGGCACAGTTCGCTGCAGGGCTCTAACAGTGTGTTCAGCAACCACCTCAGGAGCAACCTTTGCAGATTTAGATCCAGGTGTCACCATGTTTGGCTTCAACAGAGTTCCCTCAAGAAGAACATGGTGATCATTCAAAGCCTTGTAGCATGCTGCAAGGACACGCTCGGTGACAGCGGCACACTTGTGAATGTCATGAGGTCCATCAACAAGGATCTCGGGTTCAACAATGGGAACCAACCCATTTTCCTGGCATATGACAGCATATCTGGCCAAGCCATAGGCATTCTCATGGATGGAGAGCTCTGATGGCTCGTTGGGACCAATCTTTAGCACGGCACGCCATTTGGCAAATCGTGCACCTGCTTCATAGTATTTGGCACAACGCTGACCAAGGCCATCCAGACCCTGAGTGGTGGTTTCCCCATCGGTCCCAGCAAGCTCAACGGTGCCCTTGTCAACCTTGATACCAGGAAGCACACCAGCCTCCGTCAACAACTGAACAAAGGGCTTGCCTACATAAAATCCATTTACAAAAAGGTTAGTAGTGTAACATAAATGACACTATGATTCATCTTCATTCAAATGAAGACGATTCCACCAGTAAAAAAAACCATATTGGCTAACCAAAAAGGGAAAAAAAAAAAAGAAAATAATCATGAATTAAAGGTTTCGAAATAGAACAAAACTTAATGCAATTCCTTAGGTATTTAAAGTTTCGTCTCCAATAAAAATTAGAATTTCTCAATAAGACAATAAAGATTTACATAATTACATGAACATCAAGAGCACATATTGAATTGTTTTTAACTTTGCACTTAAAAAACAAGTTCCCAAAAAAATCGGTGGTATAATTGTGCCTGCGTCGACCACATTTGACCACAATTTTCTGCACCGTCAATGATCACCAGAAAATTGACGTTGATTGACGCAACACAGTTCATCACAAACTAAACAAATTAAGATCCTTGAAAATTGAGTACCTGAAGCTGTGCTCTGGTAGAGGGTTTCCTCAAAGAGGATGACTCCACTGAGGTATTGAAGAGCACCAGGAGCAGTGAAAAGAAGCTCCCTAAGAGCACGCCTGTTGGATTCAACGTTCTCTACATTGATGCTGGCCAAACGCTTACCAATCGTACCTGTCGACTCATCAGCAGCAAGAATACCCTTTCCAGGAGTGCCAATGTAGGCAGCATTTGCAATAAGCTCATCTGCAAACAAAATAATCAATCAACAGAACCACACAGACATCATTTCCAAACTTCCCAAAAACAAAACAGCATCGATCATAGACAAATCCAAAACATGAACAAAATAAACAGAAAACAAGTTGAACGTCATCGTTTGAACAAAGATGTGGAGTAAAAACAGCAGCCGAGACAAAGAAACCTTAGACCAGAATTCATAAACCACAACAAAATCCCTCGAAAGAGCACATATATCAACAGTCGCACACGAGCTTTCCATAAAAAGTCGAATGAAAAACCAGATCTGAATCTCTCAGAACTAAATCCACGCAAACAAGTTCAAATTAATCCAAAAAAAGGCATAAAATAAACGGATCAATAGATAAACATATGAAACAGTTAGATCTAGAAACAAAAGACTGATATGAGAATAGATCGACGTAAAAGAGAGTGCACAGAGGAAGAGAAGTACCATGGTACTTGCCCTTGAAGTGAGACATGATCGAGGAGGAAGAAGACGATGAGGTAGTTGAACGGAGATAGCAAGGTAGGTGTGAGATTGGGGAAAAAGTGAACACGAGGAAAAGGGTTAAGAGGGGTTTAAATAGTGATGGTGATAATGATGTTGCGTTGAGGAGACGACAACAGCAAAAGAGACTAGGGTCTTAGGAAGCGCACTCGCGAAGTTGGTGAGTGTGTGTTTTGTCTCTGTGGACTGCCGTTGGAATCAAGGACACCAAAATTGAATGGCGGTTTTGGTTTTCGGTGGACTGACCAGCCCACATTTATTGGGCCCAACGCCATTGTGCAGCTCATCAAAAAGAAAGCCCACCTGTCAGTTGTAATGTGAAGTACACCGACTATGTGAAATCTGCATAGTCATGCAAAGTCTGCCTTCTTTTCAATAAAGTTTTTCCTTTTCTTTTCTCTAGTCTTAGATATCATTATTTTTATTCTCAAATATAACCAAATATTGACCATTTATTTTATTTAATAATTAGTAATATTTTTCTTCTAGAATATTCTAAATGACTTTTAGTCATGGAATCAATAATATATTTTTTTAATTAAAAATATTTTTAAAATAATACTAAATTTATAAATAATACAATTAAAACCATTAAAAAAAACTTTTAAAAGTCATCGAAAAAAACTGACAAAAAAGTCAAAACATTAATTAAAACAGGAAAAAACTTGGTTCTATAATAATTAGTAATATTTTTCTTCTAGAATATTCTAAATGACTTTTAGTCATGGAATCAATAATATATATTTTTAATTTAAAATATTTTTAAAATAATATTATATTTATAAACAATACAATAAACCCATTCAAAAAAGAAAGTTTTAAAAGTCAACCAAAAAAACTAACAAAAAAAGTCAAAAAATTAATTAAAACAGGAAAAAACTTAGTTCTTTAATAAAATTAGTAATATTTTTCTTCTAGAATATTCTAAATGACTTTTAGTCACGGAATTAATAATATATTTTTTTAACTAAAAAATATTTTTAAAATAATATTGAATCTATAAATAATACAATTAAAACATTCAAAAAAGAAAGTTTTAAAAGTCAACAAAAAAAAGCTAACAAAAAAGTCAAAACATTAACTAAAACAGGAAAAAACTTGGTTCTTTTATTTTGCATATGACTCTATATAATCTGGATATGTAAAAAATGTAAATTTGTTTCTTTTCTTTTGTCTAATCTTAAATATCATTATTTTTTCACAAATATAATTTATTTTATTTAATAATTAGTAATAATTTTCTTCTAGAACATTCTAAATGATTTTTAGTCACGAAATCAATAATATATTCCTTTTAATTAAAATATTCTTAAAATAATATTAAGTCTATAAATAATTCAATTAGAACCATTAAAAGAAACTTTTAAAAGTTAACAAAAAAACTAACAAAAAGTCAAAACATTAACTAAAACAAGAAAAAACTTAGTTATTTTATTTTGTGTTTCGGTATAATTGTTGGGACCGAGATGCGAATCTGTCTTAACCTTCTCGCAATGCAATTATCCTTATATCTTCCTTTTGCACAAGGCTTTTCAGGGAGAATGGAGTGGGTACCTGCGAAGACACTTCGACGCTCTAAGTCAGAAAAAGGAATGACGGAACCTTTTTGGTTCAATAATAAAATCAATCTTTTCTCTCTTCTTCCTGAATTATAAAAAACATACTCGTTTCTTTTCTGGTTTTTCGTATTTAACCTAGAAGTAAGATAAACTGTTTACCTAAAAATCCAGTTAGTTGGAAAACTCAACCGCTTGGTCGTGCTTTTCATCTATGATACTGGGTTAGTTAGTTCCGTGATTTGTGCTATCATGACCAGATATTTCTAACCACTTATTCGTTAGTTTATCCGGGTTAATTGATCAAGTCTGAATAAAGTTGACCGAGCGCCTGTTAACTCTTAGCTTGACTGGGTTGACTTGACCCATGCTGATCGTTTGGTTTAAGTAACGGACCATCGCTATTAAGATGATCGATGTTAGGGGCGACATTGACGAGCGTACGATATGACGATCGTCTCGCTAGCATTATCTTCTATGATATCGCGATCGTTCTGTCTAGGAGGTTGACGATCGCTCGGAAGTGATCGTTTGAATACTCGTTAATATCTGGCCTGTTTACTATTGGTAGCCGTCCGGGTAAAAGCGATCGTTTAGTCGCTCGTTCGGTTTATTGTTGACAACCGCTCGACTCAAATATTCTACCATACATAATGTCCCTCGAGTCCGAGTTAACCAACACGGTTTAAGCGTGCGAGTTAACTATAGGACGTTGAGGGTACGCTCGTTGAGTAGGGTAATTGCACCGTTTTGTTGTAGGGAGGTTGTATTCGCTGTGCTAGGGAGCGTGTTTCCGGTCGTTGCTCATCTATGGACTGAACGACAGGCTTTATGGGTTTTCTCTTTGCCATAGGCCGAACGGTTGAACGTTTTAACACTTGAGGCCAAGGATGACCGAGCGGTTGAGGTCGAAGGACCAAAAACATGTGAGGCCGAACGACCAAAAGCTGGAAAGCTTGAGGCCGCAAAAGGCCAAACGGTTGAATGTTTGAACACGTGAGGCCATGTATGGCCGAGCGGTAGAGGCCGAGTGGCCGGACGTCAATGAGGCCGAATGGCCGAATGCTGGAATGCTTGAGGCCACGGGTGGCCGAGCGGTAGAGGCCGAGTGGCCGAATGTCAGTGAGGCCGAATGGCCGAATGCTGGAATGCTTGAGTCCATGGTTGGCCGATCGGTAGAGGCCGAGTGGCCGAACGTCAGTGAGGCCGAATGGCCGAATGCTGGAACACTTGTGACCATGGATGGCCGAACAGTGGAGGCCGGGTGGCCGAACGTCAGTGAGGCCGAATGTTGGAATGCTTGTGGCCATCGATGGTCGAGCGGTTGAAGCCAAAGGCCGAATACCTTTGAGGCCGAATGACCGAATGCTTGAACACTTGAGGCCATGGATGGCCGAGCAGTTGAGGTTGAAGGACCGAAAACCTGCAAGGCCGAACGGCCAAATGCTGGAACGCTTTAGGTCACGGATGACCAAGCGCGAGGCCGAAGGACCGAGTACCTGCTAGGTTCCATAATAGGTAGACTGACTTTATGTTTACATGCGCTAGGTGTTATTGGGCGAACGTAACCTAGACTAAGGGATGATCCCCTATGTTTGATTTTTTGGGTGTTCTAGGGCGAACATCGACCAGAGCGAGTCTATCCCTTTATTCAATGCACCTGGTGTCTAGGGCGAACATCTACCAGGTCTAGGAGTGTTTCCCCAGTTTTTAGTGCTTCAACATGAACGGCTCTCTGGCGTCCGCCTTTGTATGCAAGATGTGTTTTTAGCTAAACAAACCAATGCATTTACAAGGTTTGACAAATAATATCCAAAATAGATTATGCTATAAAGCCAATCAGCCGAGAGAGTAAGACTGGTTGGTCTTCGGTTGATTATCTGGAGACCAAAATTTGAAATTCATGCTAGGAAGAACTCAAAATTGCTTTAGACCTTATGACTTGTAACAAAATATCAAAATATAGACGAGGTCGTTCGGTCTTGATTGAACGTTTGAAAAATGCATATTAGAATTGATCATGGTCGGCCAAAATGTAACATATGAGTTTGTAGGTGTTCTCCAACCTGCATAAAAGAACAATTGATAATAATTGTATGGATACACATTGCATGAGAGGCGTTAAATAAAGGTTGAGATGCATCTGGTTGAGTGGCGTTAAATAAAGGTTGAGATGCACCCGATTGAGTCATCCGGTTGAGGCTCGAAAAGTAACTAAGCCTTTGGAATCTAGTTAGGCTGCCACACACTGAAAGGGCAGCGGATGATGCGGAGGCGGAACCGAACGGCGAGGTGGATGGCATAGGGGCTGGAATCCGCGATCTGTTTGGCGATCTCGTGTGGGAGTCTACCATGCAACCGGCGAGTTTGCTGCTGGCGAGCTTGCTCATGTGATTGGAACCGAGCTCCTGGCAGAATCGTCAGTCAGACCAGGCCGTGACCTTGCGACGGCACCGACGCAGTTGAAGATGCCACCTAAGGTTTTGGTGACAAAGAGACGGAGGTTGTTATGTGGGCGGCTCCGGCCTTGCAAGTGGTGTGCGCGATTTTTGGGTTTCAAAGCTTGTTCACGACGGATTCGAAGACGAGGGTGGTGGAGATGAAACCCCTTAACGGTTCTTTCGAGATTGGAATTCATGGCATTGCCGTAACCGGCGTCGGCGATGAGTTGGCACTTGATCGAGCATGTAGTCGGTGTTGGAAAAAGCCAACCTTGAAATGACAATGGAGAAGCTGCTGGTGATGTAGTAGGTGGCCTGAGTGCTTTCCATTGCGGCCTTCATGATTTATCATCTGATACGGAGCAGGGAGAAAAGAAACCAGATGGAGAATATCGGCCAGGGGCTCGTGATAGCAGACCCCCACGTATCTACGGCGGTTGGCGGCGCATCCAGTAATCAGGAAGGGTGGCGATGGTGGAGAGTAGCTTCCCAAGGAGCTATTGACGTTGAGGGTGGGCTTGCCGCCTCCCACGACGGCGACTACTGGGTTAATTGATGAAGGCTTGGGTATCTAACCCTTAAAAATAGGGTTCAGGACAAGGTGATGGAGGTGTTAGTTGTCGCGTTCACAGTGGATGACGGTGACATTGAGTTTGAACAAGAGGCGTGAGAAATGATTTCGTGAATCATTGTCACGGAAGTTGAGTGCGACACCCGCGTCGGAATTGCTCGCCGTAGGGGTTGCCGTTGTAAATGCGGAAACCGTGGTTATTGGCGAAGACGCAAACCTGGGCGCGATGGATGAAACGGAGACTGTACTAGACGGTGTGGCGGGTGACGTGAGGCTGGATCGGACGGCACGACAGGCGTGGAGCCGGAATAGTCACATGAGGACCGCCTAAAGATAGCGTAGGTCCAGCTTTCTCTGGCGCCCTCGATGAGGGCCTGTGGACGGTGCTGGAGGGTGTCCTGGCTTACAACGGTGGCGGATTGCGACAAGGCCGACGGAGGCCATATAGAGGAGAGATCAGATGAAAACCTCCACAACAGAGAAGTAATCATCTGTTCAGAGATTCACTCGCCAACACTAAGTTGTCGATGATGTTGGTGATTAAGCAGTGGTGTCTGGAGTTTGACGTTTGGGGAATAGAAATTGGGTTGGACGACGTGGAGGCAAAACCGAATGGCGCGTGGATGCCGTGAGTGCTGCGGAAGACCCGGAGGCTAGGCCAGACAATGTGGCGGACTTGGAGACGCCGAAAGGGTTTGTCTCTGGGTGACAGCTGTCTTCTCCATAAGCAATGGGGATGCGACTAATAAGGGAATCCAGAGTCTTTCCTCAAACTACAGATTGACTTTCCTTATGAGCTCTGTTTTGGTGACCGAGGAGGTACCAGGGTGACTTGAAATGCGGAGATGCATCATGAACTGAATGATGGAGATCACTGGATCAGAATCTTACAAGAAAAGAGTTTCCCTATATGATAAACAAGGTTAACGCAGACGACAACAGAGCCATAGAAATCATTGAGTTTTTGAACCCAACGTCAAGTAAATATATTATTATAGTGATCTATTTTTCTTTTTATATATATTATTATATACCTTTTATAATGATATAATGAAAAAAGTGATTGTAATGCTCCCAGTTCATTTACGGGTAGATTTTTATTATTTTATTTTCAAAAAATAAAAAATACTTATCTTGATGAAACTTCAAGTAGAGATGATGACTTCTTTGGNAAAACAAAACAGCGGGAGAATTGTAAGTAAACACAAAGCTTCGTTTAGAAAGGTGGTGTCTTCCAAGAAAACAAATTAAAATCCCCTCCATTTGCGCATGTTTGACCAATACATTGAAACTAAAATGATATTGCAGAACACTAAAACAAAAAAGCAAAATTTCAAACGATTATTCTGGGAGGAGTCAAACCACAATACTCATTAGCAAGAAATTCGGTTGTCACCCGATTCCTACCCCGCACTAAAGAGAACCAACTTTTCTCAGTACTTGTAGTCCTCAACATGGAGACTCTCTGAGGCACCCTCAGCAAGCTTTGAATCGCCCTTGTAGGCTCCAAGAGTTGCCTCCGAGTTAGCCTTGGCTCTTACCAATAAGGCTTCTTGAGCCTTCTTCACATTCTCATCTTTTCCACTCCATGCCTTAAGGGTACTCTGTTGAAGTGCCCTTCCAAAAGAGAAAGAGAGTGTCCATGGCTTCTTCCCCTTAACCAGGTTGATGGCATTGAGGTTGAGGGTTGCCTCCTCCTCACTCTGTCCACCAGACAAGAAAACTACCGCAGGAACTGCAGCAGGCACAGTTCGCTGCAGGGCTCTAACAGTGTGTTCAGCAACCACCTCAGGAGCAACCTTTGCAGATTTAGATCCAGGTGTCACCATGTTTGGCTTCAACAGAGTTCCCTCAAGAAGAACATGGTGATCATTCAAAGCCTTGTAGCATGCTGCAAGGACACGCTCGGTGACAGCGGCACACTTGTGAATGTCATGAGGTCCATCAACAAGGATCTCGGGTTCAACAATGGGAACCAACCCATTTTCCTGGCATATGACAGCATATCTGGCCAAGCCATAGGCATTCTCATGGATGGAGAGCTCTGATGGCTCGTTGGGACCAATCTTTAGCACGGCACGCCATTTGGCAAATCGTGCACCTGCTTCATAGTATTTGGCACAACGCTGACCAAGGCCATCCAGACCCTGAGTGGTGGTTTCCCCATCGGTCCCAGCAAGCTCAACGGTGCCCTTGTCAACCTTGATACCAGGAAGCACACCAGCCTCCGTCAACAACTGAACAAAGGGCTTGCCTACATAAAATCCATTTACAAAAAGGTTAGTAGTGTAACATAAATGACACTATGATTCATCTTCATTCAAATGAAGACGATTCCACCAGTAAAAAAAACCATATTGGCTAACCAAAAAGGGAAAAAAAAAAAAGAAAATAATCATGAATTAAAGGTTTCGAAATAGAACAAAACTTAATGCAATTCCTTAGGTATTTAAAGTTTCGTCTCCAATAAAAATTAGAATTTCTCAATAAGACAATAAAGATTTACATAATTACATGAACATCAAGAGCACATATTGAATTGTTTTTAACTTTGCACTTAAAAAACAAGTTCCCAAAAAAATCGGTGGTATAATTGTGCCTGCGTCGACCACATTTGACCACAATTTTCTGCACCGTCAATGATCACCAGAAAATTGACGTTGATTGACGCAACACAGTTCATCACAAACTAAACAAATTAAGATCCTTGAAAATTGAGTACCTGAAGCTGTGCTCTGGTAGAGGGTTTCCTCAAAGAGGATGACTCCACTGAGGTATTGAAGAGCACCAGGAGCAGTGAAAAGAAGCTCCCTAAGAGCACGCCTGTTGGATTCAACGTTCTCTACATTGATGCTGGCCAAACGCTTACCAATCGTACCTGTCGACTCATCAGCAGCAAGAATACCCTTTCCAGGAGTGCCAATGTAGGCAGCATTTGCAATAAGCTCATCTGCAAACAAAATAATCAATCAACAGAACCACACAGACATCATTTCCAAACTTCCCAAAAACAAAACAGCATCGATCATAGACAAATCCAAAACATGAACAAAATAAACAGAAAACAAGTTGAACGTCATCGTTTGAACAAAGATGTGGAGTAAAAACAGCAGCCGAGACAAAGAAACCTTAGACCAGAATTCATAAACCACAACAAAATCCCTCGAAAGAGCACATATATCAACAGTCGCACACGAGCTTTCCATAAAAAGTCGAATGAAAAACCAGATCTGAATCTCTCAGAACTAAATCCACGCAAACAAGTTCAAATTAATCCAAAAAAAGGCATAAAATAAACGGATCAATAGATAAACATATGAAACAGTTAGATCTAGAAACAAAAGACTGATATGAGAATAGATCGACGTAAAAGAGAGTGCACAGAGGAAGAGAAGTACCATGGTACTTGCCCTTGAAGTGAGACATGATCGAGGAGGAAGAAGACGATGAGGTAGTTGAACGGAGATAGCAAGGTAGGTGTGAGATTGGGGAAAAAGTGAACACGAGGAAAAGGGTTAAGAGGGGTTTAAATAGTGATGGTGATAATGATGTTGCGTTGAGGAGACGACAACAGCAAAAGAGACTAGGGTCTTAGGAAGCGCACTCGCGAAGTTGGTGAGTGTGTGTTTTGTCTCTGTGGACTGCCGTTGGAATCAAGGACACCAAAATTGAATGGCGGTTTTGGTTTTCGGTGGACTGACCAGCCCACATTTATTGGGCCCAACGCCATTGTGCAGCTCATCAAAAAGAAAGCCCACCTGTCAGTTGTAATGTGAAGTACACCGACTATGTGAAATCTGCATAGTCATGCAAAGTCTGCCTTCTTTTCAATAAAGTTTTTCCTTTTCTTTTCTCTAGTCTTAGATATCATTATTTTTATTCTCAAATATAACCAAATATTGACCATTTATTTTATTTAATAATTAGTAATATTTTTCTTCTAGAATATTCTAAATGACTTTTAGTCATGGAATCAATAATATATTTTTTTAATTAAAATATTTTTAAAAATAATATTAAATTTATAAATAATACAATTAAAACCATTAAAAAAACTTTTAAAAGTCATCCAAAAAAACTAACAAAACAAAATCAAAACATTAATTAAAACAGAAAAAAACTTGGTTCTATAATAATTAGTAATATTTTTCTTCTAGAATATTCTAAATGACTTTTAGTCATGGAATCAATAATATATTTTTTTAATTAAAAATATTTTTAAAATAATACTAAATTTATAAATAATACAATTAAAACCATTAAAAAAAACTTTTAAAAGTCATCGAAAAAAACTGACAAAAAAGTCAAAACATTAATTAAAACAGGAAAAAACTTGGTTCTATAATAATTAGTAATATTTTTCTTCTAGAATATTCTAAATGACTTTTAGTCATGGAATCAATAATATATATTTTTAATTTAAAATATTTTTAAAATAATATTATATTTATAAACAATACAATAAACCCATTCAAAAAAGAAAGTTTTAAAAGTCAACCAAAAAAACTAACAAAAAAAGTCAAAAAATTAATTAAAACAGGAAAAAACTTAGTTCTTTAATAAAATTAGTAATATTTTTCTTCTAGAATATTCTAAATGACTTTTAGTCACGGAATTAATAATATATTTTTTTAACTAAAAAATATTTTTAAAATAATATTGAATCTATAAATAATACAATTAAAACATTCAAAAAAGAAAGTTTTAAAAGTCAACAAAAAAAAGCTAACAAAAAAGTCAAAACATTAACTAAAACAGGAAAAAACTTGGTTCTTTTATTTTGCATATGACTCTATATAATCTGGATATGTAAAAAATGTAAATTTGTTTCTTTTCTTTTGTCTAATCTTAAATATCATTATTTTTTCACAAATATAATTTATTTTATTTAATAATTAGTAATAATTTTCTTCTAGAACATTCTAAATGATTTTTAGTCACGAAATCAATAATATATTCCTTTTAATTAAAATATTCTTAAAATAATATTAAGTCTATAAATAATTCAATTAGAACCATTAAAAGAAACTTTTAAAAGTTAACAAAAAAACTAACAAAAAGTCAAAACATTAACTAAAACAAGAAAAAACTTAGTTATTTTATTTTGTGTTTCGGTATAATTGTTGGGACCGAGATGCGAATCTGTCTTAACCTTCTCGCAATGCAATTATCCTTATATCTTCCTTTTGCACAAGGCTTTTCAGGGAGAATGGAGTGGGTACCTGCGAAGACACTTCGACGCTCTAAGTCAGAAAAAGGAATGACGGAACCTTTTTGGTTCAATAATAAAATCAATCTTTTCTCTCTTCTTCCTGAATTATAAAAAACATACTCGTTTCTTTTCTGGTTTTTCGTATTTAACCTAGAAGTAAGATAAACTGTTTACCTAAAAATCCAGTTAGTTGGAAAACTCAACCGCTTGGTCGTGCTTTTCATCTATGATACTGGGTTAGTTAGTTCCGTGATTTGTGCTATCATGACCAGATATTTCTAACCACTTATTCGTTAGTTTATCCGGGTTAATTGATCAAGTCTGAATAAAGTTGACCGAGCGCCTGTTAACTCTTAGCTTGACTGGGTTGACTTGACCCATGCTGATCGTTTGGTTTAAGTAACGGACCATCGCTATTAAGATGATCGATGTTAGGGGCGACATTGACGAGCGTACGATATGACGATCGTCTCGCTAGCATTATCTTCTATGATATCGCGATCGTTCTGTCTAGGAGGTTGACGATCGCTCGGAAGTGATCGTTTGAATACTCGTTAATATCTGGCCTGTTTACTATTGGTAGCCGTCCGGGTAAAAGCGATCGTTTAGTCGCTCGTTCGGTTTATTGTTGACAACCGCTCGACTCAAATATTCTACCATACATAATGTCCCTCGAGTCCGAGTTAACCAACACGGTTTAAGCGTGCGAGTTAACTATAGGACGTTGAGGGTACGCTCGTTGAGTAGGGTAATTGCACCGTTTTGTTGTAGGGAGGTTGTATTCGCTGTGCTAGGGAGCGTGTTTCCGGTCGTTGCTCATCTATGGACTGAACGACAGGCTTTATGGGTTTTCTCTTTGCCATAGGCCGAACGGTTGAACGTTTTAACACTTGAGGCCAAGGATGACCGAGCGGTTGAGGTCGAAGGACCAAAAACATGTGAGGCCGAACGACCAAAAGCTGGAAAGCTTGAGGCCGCAAAAGGCCAAACGGTTGAATGTTTGAACACGTGAGGCCATGTATGGCCGAGCGGTAGAGGCCGAGTGGCCGGACGTCAATGAGGCCGAATGGCCGAATGCTGGAATGCTTGAGGCCACGGGTGGCCGAGCGGTAGAGGCCGAGTGGCCGAANGTAATTTTAAATAGATTGTTACATGTTAAAAAATAAATTCTAAGTTTAAAGTTTGTATATTAAGAATTGCGATTAGTTTGCTTTTACTATTTTAATAGAAACGTTTAAATATAAATCATGTTTCATCAAATCAATTTAGTAAAAATAAACTTTTTGAAATCAACGTTTTAAATGGTCATTCAAACAAACTAATTTTGTGATTTTTTATTCAGCACTAATTTTATGAGTGATAATATTTTAAAACAAGTCCAATTTTTTCATATTAATAAATTAATACAATAATAAATCTGAATAAAAGGACAATAATAGGGTTATTCGAGAGTACTTCATCAATTGACTTTTGGATTAGAAAGAAGATAATTTAAAATGTCTATAAATTGAGGAAAAGCCACATATATTTCGAAGATGATTTTATCTTTATGAGAGATGTATTGATCATTCATAGAAATAAAAGCAACCCATAATCTAGATATTTATTGAATCTTGGCGTCATACGGCACATTTTTGACAAAAAATAAGGAGATTAAAGAATTTTTAAATAACAAAACCAACATATGTAATCATGAATATTTTCACAAAATATTGATGAATTAAAAAGGTAGGAAAGTGAATATCATAAACCCTTCCATTTATTGATTTCATGATTATGAAGAACGAAAACAAAACAGCGGGAGAATTGTAAGTAAACACAAAGCTTCGTTTAGAAAGGTGGTGTCTTCCAAGAAAACAAATTAAAATCCCCTCCATTTGCGCATGTTTGACCAATACATTGAAACTAAAATGATATTGCAGAACACTAAAACAAAAAAGCAAAATTTCAAACGATTATTCTGGGAGGAGTCAAACCACAATACTCATTAGCAAGAAATTCGGTTGTCACCCGATTCCTACCCCGCACTAAAGAGAACCAACTTTTCTCAGTACTTGTAGTCCTCAACATGGAGACTCTCTGAGGCACCCTCAGCAAGCTTTGAATCGCCCTTGTAGGCTCCAAGAGTTGCCTCCGAGTTAGCCTTGGCTCTTACCAATAAGGCTTCTTGAGCCTTCTTCACATTCTCATCTTTTCCACTCCATGCCTTAAGGGTACTCTGTTGAAGTGCCCTTCCAAAAGAGAAAGAGAGTGTCCATGGCTTCTTCCCCTTAACCAGGTTGATGGCATTGAGGTTGAGGGTTGCCTCCTCCTCACTCTGTCCACCAGACAAGAAAACTACCGCAGGAACTGCAGCAGGCACAGTTCGCTGCAGGGCTCTAACAGTGTGTTCAGCAACCACCTCAGGAGCAACCTTTGCAGATTTAGATCCAGGTGTCACCATGTTTGGCTTCAACAGAGTTCCCTCAAGAAGAACATGGTGATCATTCAAAGCCTTGTAGCATGCTGCAAGGACACGCTCGGTGACAGCGGCACACTTGTGAATGTCATGAGGTCCATCAACAAGGATCTCGGGTTCAACAATGGGAACCAACCCATTTTCCTGGCATATGACAGCATATCTGGCCAAGCCATAGGCATTCTCATGGATGGAGAGCTCTGATGGCTCGTTGGGACCAATCTTTAGCACGGCACGCCATTTGGCAAATCGTGCACCTGCTTCATAGTATTTGGCACAACGCTGACCAAGGCCATCCAGACCCTGAGTGGTGGTTTCCCCATCGGTCCCAGCAAGCTCAACGGTGCCCTTGTCAACCTTGATACCAGGAAGCACACCAGCCTCCGTCAACAACTGAACAAAGGGCTTGCCTACATAAAATCCATTTACAAAAAGGTTAGTAGTGTAACATAAATGACACTATGATTCATCTTCATTCAAATGAAGACGATTCCACCAGTAAAAAAAACCATATTGGCTAACCAAAAAGGGAAAAAAAAAAAAGAAAATAATCATGAATTAAAGGTTTCGAAATAGAACAAAACTTAATGCAATTCCTTAGGTATTTAAAGTTTCGTCTCCAATAAAAATTAGAATTTCTCAATAAGACAATAAAGATTTACATAATTACATGAACATCAAGAGCACATATTGAATTGTTTTTAACTTTGCACTTAAAAAACAAGTTCCCAAAAAAATCGGTGGTATAATTGTGCCTGCGTCGACCACATTTGACCACAATTTTCTGCACCGTCAATGATCACCAGAAAATTGACGTTGATTGACGCAACACAGTTCATCACAAACTAAACAAATTAAGATCCTTGAAAATTGAGTACCTGAAGCTGTGCTCTGGTAGAGGGTTTCCTCAAAGAGGATGACTCCACTGA